ATGGTCAGCTGGGTTGTGGACTTGGACATGTCTATGAGGCATCAAAGCAGAAGCATTGAATGTGCTAGTGAAGTAATAAAGCACCATCTTTTAAAGTATATTTTGAAATTCTAACTTTTTACCAATTCATAGTGGCCATCCCACTCGACCCAGTCGGGTTGTACAGAAAATGTGAAGAGACAGGGGCGCCTGGGTGGCTCAGTCGGTTAAACATCCAACTTCGGGTCAGGTCATGATCTTGCGGTTCATGAGTTCAAGCCCCACGTCGGGGTCTGGGCTGACAGATCAAAGCCTGGAGACTGCTTCAGATTCTGTGTCTCCCTCTCTCTCTGCCTCTCCCCCACTCACACTCTGTCTCTCTCTCTCTGTCTCAAAAATAAAGAAACATAAAATAGTTTAAAAAAATAAAGAAAATATGAAGAGACAGCTGGAGATTTCTCTAGTCTCCATATGGGCAAATCCATCAGACCCTAGGTGGCAGCTGTCCCCTGCCCCCAGTCTACAACAAGTTCATCAACCCTGAGATCAATCTGGTCATTTGCTGTCTATGTGCTTGAATTTGCCAGGAACTTTTTGTTTGCACTTTGAATGGCTCTTGCACACAAAACTCTCAGATAAAATTCCATCTGTGGTTAATGGAAAGATCTGCTTAAACGTTGCATCACTGCTGGAAAGAAACCTGAGCTTTGATTAAACTCTGGGGGCAAAGTCCCATCCGACAACACAGAATGCCTACTCTGGTCATGGAAATCACTTCCAACTTCTGAGCTTAAAGCACTGAAATGAAGCCTCAAAGTGAAGGTTCCCATCGCCCCGGAAGGAGCCACTGAGGGCCTTCCTGATAACATCTTTATCCTTCCATTTCTGTCATCAATCTGGCTGAGAACTGAAGGGAAGGGAAGGGCTGTACCCGAGTCATCGCACTAAAATGTAAGGGTTGGAAGATGTAGGCAGCCACGCCGAACTATAAGCCAGCTTGGAACGAAATCAGAACAAGTAATTTAAAAAAAATTTGTGAGCCCTTACAGCCATTGGCCGATGCTTCTGTAACATCCACCCTTCTCCAGACTTTTGGCACAAGAACAAGTTAAAAACAAATGCTTTCAGTTTGCTTAAATGATAGCCCTTGGAAAAACCCAGTGACTGATACTGCATGCGGAGAACAGTTGGGCTGTTCTCCCGAGGAGAGGGCTGATCCACAAAGCACTTGGAGTAAAATGGCCCTTTTCAAGGGTGGTAAAAAAACAAAAACAAAAACAAAAGCAAAAAAAACCACCAAAACATCAAGTGAAGGTAATTAAGAATGCAAAGAAAACAACAGCACAATTCTGGTATGCGATCCATGCAAAAAGATACTTAATAAATGCATGTGCGTGCTCACGCACGGGTGGCTAAGGAACTCTTAAATATTCCCTCCCCGCTTGTGTTTTGCTTTGCTTTAACAAATGTACACTCTCGCAGCTCTTTTGTGAGGTAGGGGTTGACTGTAAATTCCATCACTTATCAAAGTGCTCTTACACAATAGGGACTGGAGCTAATTAAAATAAAATACCATCTGCATTCGATCGGACTGTACCGGAGCCCTGTAACATTCATTTCCAGTTTGGTCATTCGAACCCAATGGCAACTCTGCATTCCAGTGTCTCTGAATAATATTAACTCATCTTGTCCTTTTCTTATTAATACTAATCACACCATCTCCAAACGCCAAGGTGTCACAGAAATGCTTCGCTCACATAGGAAAGCGTTCTGGCGCGCCACGAGGAAAAGATAACACTACACACGTGGGTACGCCAGCTAATTTTGCCCAATATTTAATCAGAAATGACGAGGCAGAGTAAATATTAGTTAGCCAGACTGACAGCTAATTGATCTGGTTTGTATTCAACTAGACTGATATAAACAGAGGGATTTCGCTTGCGATTCTGAATTCATAATTGGTTCAGATGTCTATATGCTTTCCCGGAGGCTACAAATTTAATTAGTGTTGTGAGAAAGCAGCGGCCAATCGCATGGAAGTCACAGGCAGGGCTGGAATGTGCAGGCTGTTTACCTTTTCTCTCTCTTCTCTAGCGGCAGGATGCTTTGATAGCAGCCCTGCAAAGCTTATTAAGAAGTTCTTGTGTAAAAAGGACTTGTATTTGAAAAAACGTAACTGCCATAGCCTTTGCTCAGAGAAAGTCTATCCTTCTTTCTCTTCCATTCAAGGACACAACTGATCGCTGGGAATGGTTGGCCCTCGGTCCCAAACTGAATGTAGTACTTTGAGTGCACCTCAAGTGAACGAGCCCAGCACCTTAGATGATGCAGCAGAGGCGGGTCTGGCCACTCCCACCCCACGGTGCTCAAGCCTGCCTGGACTCCTTCTCTGACGCCTTGAACAATCTCATGCCCAGCTCCCATGCCCTGCTCTGCTGGGGACTCACCCAGGTGGACGCCCAGGCATCTCTGCATTCCCTTGGGCACAGGGGTACCCAGCAGGTGCACAATTAATATTTTTGGGAAGGAAGGGAAGAGCAGCCAAGTTGAATATCTTTAGCCGTTCTAAAATTTAGTCACTTAAAAAAAAAAAAAAAAGG